TAAAAAAACTTACAATTTACGCGTACATTTAAATAAAATAAAAATTAATTGCTATAAAGAGGTAGGTCAATGTAGTCATAAGTGCTGAATGTGGTGTCCATTTACCTACATGCAATAATGAGATTTTGTTCTATTCCTCACATTTTCAAGCATGTCTTGAGCTATTTGTCTACATTCAGCCGTATCCGCTGACGATCTTGATTGTAATCTGGCTTCGTACTAAAGACTTTATTTTTGAAATGCCCCCAAGAAAGTAATCTCGGCGGCCTGTCGATGGGCCTCGTCTGCCGATCCACTGATTGGGAAATGGGCCTCCAAAAACTGTCGTACTCGAGCCACATAGTCCGGCGGTGCACCATCTTGTTGGAAATGGAATGTAATTCGCATTTTCGAAAATGCTGGCACATACATTTATTTTTTTCAAGATATGCGAGAGTACCTCGCGAAAACAATGTGGATTCGAGTCACTCCAATATCGATAATTATGGCTATTTACAGCACCATGTAAATAGAAGTACGCTCATCCGAGAAATAAATATTAAATAACAGATTTGATTTGATGATGAACGTTGGGACATTAATTCGCCAAACTCCAACACCGTGTATCAAAATTGTCTTCTTCACTAAGCTCATGGACAAGTTTCATGTTGTACGTGAAATTTATTGTCTTTCAAAATTCTTTGTACTATTGAGCGTGTGAATCCTGAAGAAGTAGCCAGTCCACGAGTGCTTTGGGTGTTGTCAAGTGGTACGTGTTATGAAACTGCTATTTCTGCGGCGTCATTCCTAATGGTCGATTTTTCGATGGCGATTACAGCGAGTAGACACATACTTTTTTTGTCTGGATTTGTAACATTTTGGCAATACAATTTTGTTATTTCTACCCTTTCTTGAGTTAAATAAGCCATTGTTCAATATTTATCACAATTAGGTAGATAACTTAACAATTTGAAATGAAAGACATCTAAGACATACGATGACACTGATTGATTCTATCCTGGTATCCAGGATTATTTTTTTATTATTATCAGTATTAAGTAATTCGAATTTTATTATAAGCTCAAATAGGTTCACAACGATTGAATATAGGTATCAACTTTATTATGCAAAGGTTACTAAAAACTCAATCGAAAATGGAAAAAATGGGACTTCCATTTGAAAATCTAAAGGTGACTTTGGATCACTCTGTACAGCTATAGATGAAAACACGTCCCCTAGAAATCAAACTTGACATTTCCGAGTGTTTTTTCCAGAATATACCAGGAGAATATTGGGGGTGAACCTTTTCGTTGGGCCACCTTTCAAAGGAAGAAGTTAGGTATACCATATTTCTGGAGCAGCGGGTACGAAAAGAACACTCAACTTGGACAGCTTGTAGTCATTCTTGTAGATAGAGTGCCAAATATCGTTTTCACTTCCCACGCCTACTGGCGGGAAAGTATTGAAATCGCGAAAATTCGAAAATCAGATATTTATGTTTTTCGGATGTTACACCACGTAAAACCATGTCACTCATTTCCGTCTGTCTGTCTGTCCGCTAATCTTATAACCGCCTTTAACTGAGAAGTACCCACTGTGATTTTCATGAAAAAGCTATGTAATTGTTGAAACTCAGTTCAACGATAGTGGAAGGTTAAAAACAAACAATAAAAATCGCTCATATTTCGTATTTTACTGTTTCAGATGATCCTAATCATTTTCGGATTTTTTTGTAGAGGTTAAAAATTGGCTTAGGGGTTGCAGATGATGGGGAGGACATATCTAAATTCTTTGACCTTGGTATATTTCTGTGCCACTAACCCCTCATCACAGATGTCCCCGTACACTTACCCTTTAAACTCGTACAGTCGGGTGACGATACGTGGGACGTGGTCCTCCGACGGACAACCGTCGTCGTCGGTGGTCATACGTCACAGTCGGCAATCGCTTCCGTACTGCTGTAATCTATGTACGCTGAGCATGGTGGTGCTCAGGGGGCGGAAGTTCATTTAATTTTTTATTCAATGCTAACATAATCATTTTCGAACTGAAGACAGCGTAGCGTGGGAAGTAGTCTACTTACTTCAAGCCATTTTTTGCAATTCCAACATTTTCACATTTGTGCATGACCTATACAAGGTGTTTAGAAACTCAGAGAGTATGTTTTTTAGAAATCTTGTTACATGATGAGGAATATGACACAAATGTGTCATCCTTGTAAGCCAAGTGAGATTTTAATTGCGCCTCTCTGGATGTTATCTTGATGATGGGCAACGTAGTATGTTGGAATACTGGTTTGTTTTTCGGCAATGAATTGTAATATACAAGGGATAGCAAAATAAAAATGCCTAAAAATTATTGGAAAATCATTAGATTTTAACGATATAACAATCAAACAGATCAAAAACCAGGAATCCCATCAAAATATTTATCAAAGTAAAAAAACTACAAAAGGGTAAAATTTATTTAGGGTAAAAAGGTGATTATAAGTTGGAATATAACATAGTATTCCAAATTATGCATATATGTATTGATATAGTGTTCCAAATTATAATAACCTTTTTTGATAATTTGGTTACACTTTTCTAAGAAACTAATAAATTCCTCAACTTTGTAACCGTTTTACAGTCTTTGGTGATTAATCTGTTTAACAAAAATAGCTTCTAATTATTAATTATTAAGTAATCAGTCACAATAACCACAATCAGTATTTAGCCCGAACGCTAGTTTAGTGTTCTTAGTTACTGTTCTTACAATAATCACAGATTATACTCGTACACACCAGAGTCATAAGCACTACAAGCGCGTGAACCCACAATTCGCACATTAAGCTGCCTATTCCTAATTAACATGACATCGAATTTAAAATTCCATGTCACATTTTTATTCTAAATAAATTCACAAAATCAAGATAACATTGTAAACTCACAACGACACATAACAAACAGTTTCAAATAATTACCATGAAGATTTTACGTATCATAGTAAATGATTATCGATGATTGCATTCTTACCGAAAAAGTTTTCAAAGTGACGCCTCGTTCCCGTTGTGGCGGTAGCAGGATATGTCAAGATGACATCCTGTTTTAGTATTTGTGGTTTCGTGTCGTTTGAGACAGTATATTTACGGCAAAAAAAAAATCCAGATAGCGTTTGTATTTATCTAGGAACTGAGTACTCCAAGTTACCTGCAGTATTCAAATATGTTGCACTTCTCACATCTGCTCCCTTCTTCAATATCTTCTGAGTCGCCTGCGCCGTCCCTGGACATCTTGGTAACTTGTGACACATCCCGTATGTCATCCTCCTGACGCAGAACTTCGAATTTCAAACTTGCTGCAGCTGCACTGCAACCTCGCAGGCGACACCGACAGCCATTTGCTTTGTGATTCGCATTGTGGATGCAGCCAGCAGCCGGCCCTTTTGTCCTTTTCGCTA